GGAGCTTCTCTAGCTGCTTCATCTGATGCCGGAGCCGGAGCTGGAGCCGGAGCTGGAGCTGGAGCTGGAGCCGGAGCTGGAGCTTCTCTAGCTGCTTCATCTGATGCTGGAACCGGAGCCGGAGCTTCTCTAGCTGCTTCATCTGATGCTGGAGCTGGAGCCAGCAGAGGAAACTCGATTCACATTCATTATAGTCCGTTTCATTTTCATTTTTTTTTTGTTTTTGTTAGTAGTACATATTTATAGACTGGAAACATCCCATAATAGGAGCTGAGAAATTAACATGTGCTTTTCAAGCAGCATTAAAATCAATGTTTTAAGCACAGAAGCCATGAACACGACAAAAACACGCACTTATTAGCAGAACTGAATCATTTCTCTGCAGAAACTCAGAGTTCTGGGTCTGGTTATCTGCTGCTGCTGCTGCTGTGAAGCCGGAAACCAGCGCGAGAGAAGTCTACACAATAAAAGTCCAAACAAAAGTAAAGGGAACGAAGCTGAATTAGGAAACCGATGACAGAAAGTGAGTAGAAATTAGTTATAAGTCATTACATACTGAGTTTTTTTTACTAAAACCATTACTGCTAATTACTACACCAGAGAATCAACAAGCAAACGCAAGTGCGAGAGAGAAATAAACAAGTCATTTCTATATATTTATATTTATTATAAATAAAGGAACTCCTCTGTAATGACACAGTTTAACCACTATAGCCCTATAAGCACACGGCAGCGACCTAATTACTTACTTTTATAGGTTTTGCATTTAGATTCATATTTAGAATAATTTATTTGTCAAAGCTCACGTATTTTCCTTTGAAATGTTGATTTGAAGTGTCAAGTCTTTCAAAACCTTCATACTATTTACTATTAGATACAGAACTTATCCGCTTCTCTGTGCTGTGGTCAGATAGTGATTTTACTTCACAGCTTTGAGAGATGCTTGAACTGAACTGAACTCATGTGACTTTATATATATGTTGTTTATTTTCTGACCTGGGAAGGGACATGTTTGTCATCATATTTTAAGAAATAAAGTGATGTTTGATCGGTCATCATATAAAACTACAATACAACAAAGATTTTCTAATGAGACATTCCTCTTAAATAAATACGAAAGGTTTACGCTCTTTTTTCCCCTAAAACGACAGTCACGTGTGTGTGTGTGTGTGTGTGTGTGTATATATATATATTCTAAAATGTCACGTGTTTTCATTCTCATTTATTATTCTCAAATCCCATTTTCTTCTTCTTAAGGATTTTAAAGCGGCGCTTTTATTTTGACTCTTCCGGACCGGATGTGACGTCACTCACGCAGCCTAGTGAAGCGTCAACAGCGTTCCCTATGGACGAAGAAAGCTGCGCTGAAGTCCCGACCGCAGGTAATTAACCCACCGAGAGCGTGTTAGATCGATCCGCGCGGATTGACCAGCTGCTGGGACACTGCTCGGGCTGTTTCTGCGACATAAGCAGCGTGTATGCGTGGGATATCAGCACAGCATGTGTTTACACGTTTAATACAGCGCCTAACAGCGAGACGTGCTCAGATCTCAGTCGCCGGGTGTGTTAATCACACTGGGAATGGAAGAGGAGTGAGGGCAGTGCATTGTGGGATACGCTTCTCCATCTGCATGCATGTTTATGGTCGCACACTGAAGCCTTGTCCAAATACCCACACTTGTCCACTTGTGACGTATTTCCTGTATTTGGCTTTAGTGAGCATGAAGAGCACAAGTGTGTGTGTGTGTGTGTTTGGACGAGGCCTGAGTCTCTGCTGGAGTTTGCTCAGGCTGTCTGTGTCTCCTCAGGTGGGGTTCTTCCTCTGGCGTCTCTGCGGCTGCTGGTTCCTCCGCTGCACCTGATGTCTGCCTTCATGTGGCAGGTGCTGCAGCAGAAGAGCGTGATGCATTATGGGAAGCTGGAGGAGTTTGTTTCCATGGTGACGGAGACGCTGCCGCAGCTGCTGGGCTACAGACAGAGAGTGCAGCTGATGCTGGGTCTGAGAGCCAGGGTGAGTGTGAGAGAGAGTGTGTGTGTGAGAGAGAGAGAGTGTGTGTGTGAGAGAGAGAGAGTGTGTGTGTGAGAGAGAGAGAGTGTGTGTGTGAGAGAGAGAGAGTGTGTGTGTGAGAGAGAGAGAGTGTGTGTGTGAGAGAGAGAGAGTGTGTGTGTGAGAGAGAGAGAGTGTGTGTGTGAGAGAGAGAGAGTGTGTGTGTGAGAGAGAGAGAGTGTGTGTGTGAGAGAGAGAGAGTGTGTGTGTGAGAGAGAGAGAGTGTGTGTGTGAGAGAGAGAGAGTGTGTGTGTGAGAGAGAGAGAGTGTGTGTGTGAGAGAGAGAGAGTGTGTGTGTGAGAGAGAGAGAGTGTGTGTGTGAGAGAGAGAGAGTGTGTGTGTGAGAGAGAGAGAGTGTGTGTGTGAGAGAGAGAGAGTGTGTGTGTGAGAGAGAGAGAGTGTGTGTGTGAGAGAGAGAGAGTGTGTGTGTGAGAGAGAGAGAGTGTGTGTGTGAGAGAGAGAGAGTGTGTGTGTGAGAGAGAGAGAGTGTGTGTGTGAGAGAGAGAGAGTGTGTGTGTGAGAGAGAGAGAGTGTGTGTGTGAGAGAGAGAGAGTGTGTGTGTGAGAGAGAGAGAGTGTGTGTGTGAGAGAGAGAGAGTGTGTGTGTGAGAGAGAGAGAGTGTGTGTGTGAGAGAGAGAGAGTGTGTGTGTGAGAGAGAGAGAGTGTGTGTGTGAGAGAGAGAGAGTGTGTGTGTGAGAGAGAGAGAGTGTGTGTGTGAGAGAGAGAGAGTGTGTGTGTGAGAGAGAGAGAGTGTGTGTGTGAGAGAGAGAGAGTGTGTGTGTGAGAGAGAGAGAGTGTGTGTGTGAGAGAGAGAGAGTGTGTGTGTGAGAGAGAGAGAGTGTGTGTGTGAGAGAGAGAGAGTGTGTGTGTGAGAGAGAGAGAGTGTGTGTGTGAGAGAGAGAGAGTGTGTGTGTGAGAGAGAGAGAGTGTGTGTGTGAGAGAGAGAGAGTGTGTGTGTGAGAGAGAGAGAGTGTGTGTGTGAGAGAGAGAGAGTGTGTGTGTGAGAGAGAGAGAGTGTGTGTGTGAGAGAGAGAGAGTGTGTGTGTGAGAGAGAGAGAGTGTGTGTGTGAGAGAGAGAGAGTGTGTGTGTGAGAGAGAGAGAGTGTGTGTGTGAGAGAGAGAGAGTGTGTGTGTGAGAGAGAGAGAGTGTGTGTGTGAGAGAGAGAGAGTGTGTGTGTGAGAGAGAGAGAGTGTGTGTGTGAGAGAGAGAGAGTGTGTGTGTGAGAGAGAGAGAGTGTGTGTGTGAGAGAGAGAGAGTGTGTGTGTGAGAGAGAGAGAGTGTGTGTGTGAGAGAGAGAGAGTGTGTGTGTGAGAGAGAGAGAGTGTGTGTGTGAGAGAGAGAGAGTGTGTGTGTGAGAGAGAGAGAGTGTGTGTGTGAGAGAGAGAGAGTGTGTGTGTGAGAGAGAGAGAGTGTGTGTGTGAGAGAGAGAGAGTGTGTGAGAGTGTGAGTGAGAGAGAGTGTGTGTGTGTGTGAGAGTGAGTGTGTGAGTGTGAGAGAGAGAGAGGGTGTGTGTGTGTGTGTGAGAGCCTCCAGCTCCTAATCCTGTGTGTTTTCCTGCAGATGGTGTTGGAGTTGTGTCGTGGTGCAGTCAGTGTCAGATCCGTGCAGCTCCATCTGGACAAAATACAGATTCCAGCAGCTCTGCCTGGACACCCGGTACGGACTCGAATGAATGCGTTTAGTGCGTTTAGTCATTAGTTAACACGCATTCATCTTGACTCTTATATTGTGCACGGTTTATTCATGTCACTGCTTTTGGTAACACTTTATTTTAGTGTTGTTGTTACACATTACTGTAGTAAAGACTAATTACAAGCAACTAACCTTAAACCAAAGCCTAATCCTGACCCCATAGTCAGTGCATGTGGTTAATTAACATTACGCAGTATAGTTACACTGTAACAAGAACAAAAGCAGATCTCCAGAAACCCATAATCTGAATGTTTCTATAGACTTCTAGTCACATTGATGAGATTAAATCTGGCCGATAAGATAGTTTACATTTGGATTTGATATCTGTGTCCCTGCAGCACAGAAGCAGTGTTAAGTCGCTGGGGGATATCTGTAGCAATAGCCAACAATACATTGTATGGGTCACAATTATACATTTCTCTTTGATTTTTTTATTTATTTTTAATGATTGATGTTCCATGAAGATATTTTGTAAATGTCCTACCGTAAATATATCAGAACTTAATGTTTGATTAGTAATATGCATTGCTAAGAACTTCATCTGAACAACTTTAAAGATGATTTTCTCAATATTTAGATTTTTTTGCACCCTCAGATTCCAGATTTTCAAATATTGTCCGATCCTAACAAACCATACATCAATGGAAAGATTATTTATTCAGCTCTGATGATGCATACATCTCAATTTCACAAAATTGACCCTTATGACTGGTTTTGTGCTCCTGAGTCACATATGGTTTTATGCGAGTATATGTAGACAGGGAATGTTGATATACGTTTAGGTTTGCGCTGATTTTGAGGATTATGAATAATTATGCATTATAAAATATGGACGGTTTTGGTTTCAATTATAGCATTTTGATATCGTGGTAAACCTAATACCTGTTTCTGATGACTCGAGGCCTGTCGCAGTGGAAGGTTTTGCTCCGATGTGCTGGTGTGAATGCATCCGTGTTTGTTTCTAGGCTCCTGATGCTGATCTGAGAACATCCCTCACTAACTTCAGAGCTCTGGTTCTGGCGCTGCTGAAGGACCCGGTGGAGAAAGCCTATTTCTTCCAGGTCAGACACTCATCATGTTGATCCTCAGCGTGACTGGCGGCTGATCTCGTGTGTTTATGTGTCCCGTCTGTCTGTCTCACACAGGAGGTGTTTCCGGTGGAATATGGAGCGCGCTTCGACACGGCGCTGAAGGAGCTGATGTGGGAGCTGCTCTCCTGTCTGGAGAAACTGCTTCCTGTGCCAGGCTTTCAGAAAGTACAGCAGCGACTCTCTGCTTTGTGTTTGTGTGTGGTTGAAGTCCAGTGTGTGAAACGGTCTCTAATCATATGGAGTCACACTCATCATGCTGTGACTCCGTGTGGTGCCGCAGAAATGACACACTTAACCTTCTCTGGCACAGCATGTGTAGCACAGAAGGTGATTTGCGTTCTCTCTCTCTCTCTCTCTCTCTCTCTCTCTCTGTGTGTGTGTCTCAGACGCTGGCGTGGCTCAATCCTGCTCCCACTGGTCTGGAGGACTGTATGCAGAGCGACCCGAACGACCTGCGCCGCCTCCTGCAGCAGCACCAACTGTTTGGAGCTGCAGAAACTCACAGCTGGCAGAAAGTGGGTATGGAAACCAACTGTTTCATATGTGTTTAACTCTTAAAAAAATGGGCCATAGAGCAACTCATCTGCCAGGATTTGGACATTTTGTTATTATGCACCTTATGTTTAAGGTAAGAGTGGCAGGGGCGTTATTAAAGGGGTCCTATTATACTTTTTCAACTTTAGTTAGTCTGTGATGTTGCTGTTTGAGCATAAAAAAAGATCTGCAAAGTTACAAAGCTCAAAGTCCACTTCAAAAGGAGATATTTTATTTCCTTTTCAAAAACTACAACGAATGACTCGTTTGGACTACAACGCATATTTTCCGGGATTTGTGATATCATAAATATCGACGAATGGGACGAGACCTGGTTGAGCTGCACTAGAGAAGGCAACGAGTGTTATCACTGTGTCGGAGACACGCTGCCTTTCCCAAAGCAGACGAACTTAGAGTGGTTACAATCATCCGGGTTTAAATCGCGCTCAAATTGATTTGATTTTGAATATTTACACTGAAGCTTGCAGGCGGCTATGGTAAGGGGCGTGACATTTCCCGACCAGGCGAGTGACCGATCACAACGCACGCTGGCCCAGCTGACCGATCACAGCGCACGCTGGTCAGGCTGACCGATCACAACGCACGCTGGCCCAGCTGACCAATCACATCACATTTCGTATTTCAGAAGGCGGGCGTTTATTTGATACAAGAACTATTTGAGCCGTTCTTCAAGACTTTGTAAAAGAGCATAATAGGACCCCTTTAAACCGAATGTGTGACTTCCAGTGTCCTTCACTCTCAGCAGTACAAAAACATTCTGCTTGATATTGGAAACTGGTAGTTGTTTTCATATTTTAATTTATCATAAACACACTGAGTTTACTGCACTTTTCTGTTCTACTAACAGCCCTGTGCATGGATAATAATTTCTGTTTTTAGATTTTTTGCTCTGTATATTTTGTAGTGAAATAATTTCAGCATTTGGAGTTGTTCTGATGAACAGCTGTGATATGCCTGTGTGAACGGAGTTGTGTTCTCTCTCAGGAGCTCTTCCTCGCTCCTCTGGCGACTGCATCGTCTCCTCTATATCCATCCCTCCGTCTGCACGCATGGCTGTCGCTTCGGAGACGCTTCTGTACCACATCCAGCCGTCGTCAGCCGCTCTGGGTCAGCTGGGCTCGGACACCATCATCGTCACAGACTACACAGAGGTGGAGCTCAGCAGCCAGGAGGAGTCCGAGGAGCTGATGGAGAAGAGCGTGGAGGTGCTGCTCGTAGACCAGAGTCCTGCTGTATCTGCGGAACAACCTGTGCTTTTCACTGACAAACCAACACAAGCTGATGTTTCTCACGGAGCTGCGAGCGACGCCCCAGCGACAGCATCCCATAATGAGACGCAGAGTGACGACAATCTACGGGACGAAGTCTTGACGGATGAATCCAACCAGCTGACCCCAAACGACTGTCCTGGGTCTGCACCACAGGAAGTCAAAACGCCCGAATCCGACGTTGACCAGAAACCGCCGCAGCGGAGAGGCCGAGGAAGACCGAGAAAAACTACAGAGACGACTGACCAAACAATCGTGGTAAAAACACCACGTCGACGAGAACGACCGGTTAAACTGGAGAACAGTGCAGAGGAATGGTGAGACATGAGATGAGACTCACTTCCGCAAATCAAGCAGCATGTGCTGCGCTTCATTTATCAAGAATAAAATATTCTTAAATTTTTTTTGTTTCAGGAGTGCCGTCTCACCACATGGAGAGCGTAAAGGTAACGTTGTGCTTTCACTACACATACAGCAGATGCAAAAGCTATTTGACCACAACGTTTGTATCATATGCAGTCATATAACAGCAGTTAGTGGTTTTGATTGGTTTACATCAGGGGTGTCCAATCCTGCTCCTGTAGGGCTGCACAATTAATCGAATGCGATTGTCATGCGTATCTTGTCAGTAAAGCCAGTTCTGTGATCAGTAGTAAATCTCCATCACGTGCTTTCAGGTGGAGCAGCATTTACTACACAGAGACGTAGTTCACTGACAAGCTACGCAAAACCGCATTCATAATCGCGCGATTATGAAATCGAAGAAATCATTCTGCAAGTATGAAAGCTGTTTGCGTAGCTTGTCAGTGAACTATGGCTCTGTGTAGTAAATGCTGCTCCATCTGAAAGCACATGAAAATACCACATTTAATATGTTTTTACTCCAAACTCACTTCATAACGTCAGTCGAGTGTTTGAAATAAATCCTTCTGTGAGATGATGTGACTTCTTACACAGAATAAGGCACGCAACATATTTCATAGTATTCTAAGCAGTGATAAAGGCATTGCATTATTATATACTTTATTATAATAAACATTATAATAAGATGAACTCCGATAAGCCATATATTGTCGTAGTCGTTTGTTTATTAGTCATGGTGAATCAATGAAAGCAGCTAAATCTACTGTTTCTCTTTCAAGCATACGTTTTGGTGTCTCACTATGGTATACGCCTCTTCCGCGTATTCCTCAGAAGCCCAATTCCATTACGCCAGCCCCAATTGGCTGGCAGACATGACGTTGCGCCAGGGAGTGGCTCCCTCCCCTTGGTATGAAAGGAGCGAAGCAACGTCATCACGACATTCAAAAACCTCTTCTCGCTTCACACAGAAGCCTACCCAACTCAGATAGCCATCAACTAGTCTCCACGCTGGTTGCTGGCTTATAATTTTGGTACTGTACTTCTAGTCGATTTGTTGGCCACCACGCCGCTTTCGCCCACCCCTCAATCGGCACTCCAGCTCATTGTTAGGGTCGTTCAGTACCGCAACTATGGCTGCAGCAATGCAGACTACCATAGCTAGCGAGGGAGATCCGCGGCTTTGCTCATGAGGGAACAAGATCTCATGCGAAGACACACACCAGGTCTGCTCTGCATGTCTTAAGCTGAAACATGCCTAAATGGCGATCGAAAGTCCCGGCTCCTGTGAGCACAGCGTGCGTTTTACCATGAAGAGCCTCCATCGCAGGTTAGCACGCCAAGCTAGCTTGTCTGGCCAGGATCCCCTCATGTCAGCTAGCCCCGCTCCGGTTTCCGCCCCTCAGGTATCTATTCCTGTGGAGCTGCCTATCACGGCAGCTCTATCGTGGGGTGAACAACTGGATGTGTGCGCCCCTCTGCCCGGTGTCCTCAGCACGGACGAGGAGGAGGAGGACACGTTTGAATTTGAGGAAGAGGGGCAATCAGATTTTCTTCTCTCTGAAGAGGAGGAAGATTTTGAGGATTCCCCTTTCCTTCCCCCTGCTCAACCGGCACAACCCCTCGCTACGGCGGGATCCACGGAGGAGGCGGGAGGGGCACC